GTATATTACAACATACTCAGTCACGATTATACAGATTTAAGAAATAAACTAATGGTTCCAAAATTCTAGTACGGAATTATTTTTTTGGACCTACTATTATTGTTCAAAATTATTAACGGATTAATCGATTGTCCATCAATATTGTCAAAAATAAATTTTATTATTCCTTCAAAAGGTTTAAGAAATCAAAAACTGTTCAGAGTTAAATTTAATAAATCTAACTATTTAGACAACAGTGTTATTAACAGAATTTGTACTAGAGGTAACGAGTACTGTCACGCGTTAGACTTTTTTGGTATATCTTTAGGAAAATTCACAAACGACTTACGAAAATTAATTTTGTATTAGTCGATAAGTCACCTACATGATTTCGTCATTATGTGATTATATTCATTATATATTTTTATAATATTAAGTGCTTTTGCACTAAAGGGCATTTTTAACTTTTTACTTGTAAGCCCGTACATTGTAATTAAATAAATAAATAAATAAATAAATTTGTAGAAATCATTTCTGTAAGTTGGAAAATTAGTGGAAAAATCGGAAAAGTGTAAAATATTTTCAGAATTTATCACTATTTCATTTATATTTTCAGTTCCCTTTATGCTTAAATTGATGTAATAGATAAAGCGCACTTGAACTCAGCTAAAAACAAATATTTTTCAACCAACTTTGCAAAAATCAGTTCTTTAGGTTAAAAAATTTGTGGAAAAAAAGGGGAATGATAGAAAATGTTTTCTAAACATTTATACTAATTTATTTAGAGCTCCCTTTGTGTTTAAATTGATTTAACAGATAAAGCGCACTTGAACTCAGCTAAAAACAAATATTTTTCAACCAACTTTGCAAAAATCAGTTCTTTAGGTTAAAAAATTTGTGGAAAAAAGTGGAATGTTGAAAAATGTTTTCTGAACATTTATACTAATTTATTTACAGCTCCCTTTGTGTTTAAATTGATTTAACAGATAAAGCGCAGTTGAACTCGGCCAAATATTAATATTTTTCAACTAACTTTGCAAAAATCAGTTCTTTAGATTACAAAATTTGTGGAAAAAAAAGAGAATGATGGAAAATGTTTTCTGAACATTTATACTAATTTATTTACTGTTCGATCCCTTGTGTTTATATTGATTTAACAGATAAAGCGCACTTGAACTCGGCCAAATATTAATATTTTTCAACCAACTTTGCAAAAATCAGTTCTTTAGGTTAAAAAATTTCTTGAAAAAAGTGGAATGTTGAAAAATGTTTTCTGAACATTTATACTAATTTATTTACAGCTTCCTTCGTGTTTAAATTGGTTTAACAGATAAAGCGCACTAGAAATCGGCCAAATATTAATATTTTTCAAACAACTTTGCAAAAATCAGTTCTTTAGGTTAAAAAATTTGTTGAAAAAAGTGGAATGATGGAAAATGTTTTCTGAACATTTATACTAATTTATTTACTGCTTCCTTTGTGTTTAAATTGACTTAACAGATAAAGCGCACTTAAACTCGGCCAAATATTAAAATTTTTCAACCAACTTAGCAGAAATCATTTCTGTAAATTGAAAAATTAGTGGAAAAATTGGAAAAGTGTAAAATATTTTCAGAATTTATCACTATTTCATTTTCAGTTCCCTTTGTGTTTAAATTGATTTAACAGATAAAGCGCACTTGCACTCGGCTAAATAATAATATTTTTCAACCAACTTTGCAAAAATCAGTTCTTTAGGTTAAAAAATTTGTGGAAAAAAGTGGAATGTTGAAAAATGTTTTCTGAACATTTATACTAATTTATTTACAGCTCCCTTTGTGTTTAAATTGATTTAACAGATAAAGCGCAGTTGAACTCGGCCAAATATTAATATTTTTCAACTAACTTTGCAAAAATCAGTTCTTTAGATTACAAAATTTGTGGAAAAAAAAGAGAATGATGGAAAATGTTTTCTGAACATTTATACTAATTTATTTACTGTTCGATCCCTTGTGTTTATATTGATTTAACAGATAAAGCGCACTTGAACTCGGCCAAATATTAATATTTTTCAACCAACTTTGCAAAAATCAGTTCTTTAGGTTAAAAAATTTCTTGAAAAAAGTGGAATGTTGAAAAATGTTTTCTGAACATTTATACTAATTTATTTACAGCTTCCTTCGTGTTTAAATTGGTTTAACAGATAAAGCGCACTAGAAATCGGCCAAATATTAATATTTTTCAACCAACTTTGCAAAAATCAGTTCTTTAGGTTAAAAAATTTGTTGAAAAAAGTGGAATGATGGAAAATGTTTTCTGAACATTTATACTAATTTATTTACTGCTTCCTTTGTGTTTAAATTGACTTAACAGATAAAGCGCACTGAAACTCGGCCAAATATTAAAATTTTTCAACCAACTTAGCAGAAATCATTTCTGTAAATTGAAAAATTAGTGGAAAAATTGGAAAAGTGTAAAATATTTTCAGAATTTATCACTATTTCATTTTCAGTTCCCTTTGTGTTTAAATTGATTTAACAGATAAAGCGCACTTGAACTCGGCCAAATATTAATATTATTCAACCATCTTTGCAAAAATCAGGTCTTTAGGTTAAAAAATTTGTGGAAAAAAGTGGAATGTTGAAAAATGTTTTCTGAACATTTATACTAATTTATTTACAGCTCCCTTTGTGTTTAAATTGATTTAACAGATAAAGCGCACTTGCACTCGGCCAAATAATAATATTTATCAACCAACTTTGCAAAAATCAGTTCTTTAGGTTAAAAAATTTGTGGAAAAAAGTGGAATGTTGAAAAATGTTTTCTGAACATTTATACTAATTTATTTACTGTTCGATCCCTTGTGTTTATATTCATTTAACAGATAAAGCGCACTTGAACTCTGCCAAATATTAATATTTTTCAACCAACTTTGCAAAAATCAGTTCTTTAGATTACAAAATTTGTAGAAAAAAAGGAGAATGATGGAAAATGTTTTCTGAACATTTATACTAATTTATTTACTGCTTCCTTTGTGTTTAAATTGATTTAACAGATAAAGCGCACTTAAACTCGGCCAAATATTAATATTTTTCAACCATCTTTGCAAAAATCAGTTCTTTAGGTTAAAAAATTTGTGGAAAAAAAGGAGAATGATGGAAAATGTTTTCTAAACATTTATACTAATTTATTTACAGCTCCCTTTGTGTTTTAATTGGTTTAACAGATAAAGCGCACTTAAACTCGGCCAAATATTAATATTTTTCAACCATCTTTGCAAAAATCAGTTCTTTAGGTTAAAAAATTTGTGGAAAAAAAGGAGAATGATGCAAAATGTTTTCTAAACATTTATACTAATTTATTTACAGCTCCCTTTGTGTTTAAATTGGTTTAACAGATAAAGCGCACTAGAAATCGGCCAAATATTAATATTTTTCAACCAACTTTGCAAAAATCAGTTCTTTAGATTACAAAATTTGTAGAAAAAAAGGAGAATGATGGAAAATGTTTTCTGAACATTTATACTAATTTATTTACTGCTTCCTTTGTGTTTAAATTGATTTAGCAGATAAAGCGCACTTAAACTCGGCCAAATATTAAAATTTTTTAACCAACTTAGCAGAAATCATTTCTGTAAATTGAAAAATTAGTGGAAAAATTGGAAAAGTGTAAAATATTTTCAGAATTTATCACTATTTCATTTTCAGTTCCCTTTGTGTTTAAATTGATTTAACAGATAAAGCGCACTTGAACTCGGCCAAATATTAATATTTTTCAACCATCTTTGCAAAAATCAGGTCTTTAGGTTAAAAAATTTGTGGAAAAAAGTGGAATGTTGAAAAATGTTTTCTGAACATTTATACTAATTTATTTACAGCTCCCTTTGTGTTTAAATTGATTTAACAGATAAAGCGCACTTGCACTCGGCCAAATAATAATATTTATCAACCAACTTTGCAAAAATCAGTTCTTTAGGTTAAAAAATTTGTGGAAAAAAGTGGAATGTTGAAAAATGTTTTCTGAACATTTATACTAATTTATTTACTGTTCGATCCCTTGTGTTTATATTCATTTAACAGATAAAGCGCACTTGAACTCTGCCAAATATTAATATTTTTCAACCAACTTTGCAAAAATCAGTTCTTTAGATTACAAAATTTGTAGAAAAAAAGGAGAATGATGGAAAATGTTTTCTGAACATTTATACTAATTTATTTACTGCTTCCTTTGTGTTTAAATTGATTTAACAGATAAAGCGCACTTAAACTCGGCCAAATATTAATATTTTTCAACCATCTTTGCAAAAATCAGTTCTTTAGGTTAAAAAATTTGTGGAAAAAAAGGAGAATGATGGAAAATGTTTTCTAAACATTTATACTAATTTATTTACAGCTCCCTTTGTGTTTTAATTGGTTTAACAGATAAAGCGCACTAGAACTTGGCCAAATATTAATATTTTTCAACCAACTTTGCAAAATTCAGTTCTTTAGGTTAAAAAATTTGTGGAAAAAAAGGAGAATGATGGAAAATGTTTTCTAAACATTTATACTAATTTATTTACAGCTCCCTTTGTGTTTAAATTGGTTTAACAGATAAAGCGCACTAGAACATGGCCAAATATTAATATTTTTAAACCAACTTTGCACAAAGCAGTTCTTTAGGTTAAAAGATTTGTGGAAAAAAGGGGAATGTTGGAAAATGTTTTCTTAAAATTGTTGTCGCCGTAAGAAACAACTAATAATATTATTTTTGTGAGTTGGATACTCAACTGAGAACAAACTCTACTTTATTTATTTAACAAGCAAAGTACAAAAACTTGGAGATAATCAATCCTTCCAAAGCTTCACTGAGTCTTTTTGGAAGACAATTTACTAACCGTGCTATCACTTTGAGTAGCGACTAATTAATCTGACCACACCTGCTTATGCATTAGTTTTAAAGGACTGTGTAATAGTCCCCACTCTTTACAATACACACTCATACTTCATACTGTCGACACCTCCCCCCTTTAAACTATCGATGATTTTCAAATTAACATTTATTTAAAAATTCGATGCAGGTTTCCTTCTAGGAGGTTTCGAATGTAATTCAAAATTTAATCCTGGTAGATTTTTCTCAGTAGCTACATACTGCGTTGGATCTGTATTGTTAAAACTACGATTTGTATAACAGTTCCCAATACAATATCTTATTAAATTTAAAATACACTGTATAATTCCCGTTTTAAACATTATATAGAAGATTATAATTACAATACTTGCATATCCTATGTACTCTAAATACGTCAAAGACTTTTCTGTCCAACTCTTAAATCTTTCATGTGTCTTTAATTTATCTAGCATCGCTTCGGTATCTTCCATACTAATTTTCGCTTCTTTTATTCTATCTAAATTAAGAAATCTTGGTAATTTTGGTAATTTATCATTAATTAATTTTAAATTGTCTTTCTCAAAATCTAATTCTATTGTGATTTTATCCTCAAAGTATCTACTTATATTTTTCATCGGTTTATTAAGATCTAGCTTTATTTCATTCGTATATAGCTTACATCTATTCCCTGTTATTAGATAAGTACCCAATTTTTTACCATTATAATTATTATTTTCGCATACTATATCTATAACTGTTTCTTTTACAAATATACATATATAACCTGTTTCTGTTTTCATAAATGTTTCATCGCTGAGTAGTAATGGAGATTTTAGACAATTTCTATTAGACATTTTTATTAAATCCGCGTCACAATTTTCTGTTTGATATATTAAATAATTCGGTTGATTTCTCTTACAAATTTTATAGTCTTCTATATTACTACATTTTTCTAAATCTGTCTTATCAATCGGTACGTATTCAGTTTTCGTTTGCAAAATATATTCGTGGTTTGGTAAAAACACCATAGCTTGACCATTAATTATTCGTTCTGGAATTGGTAAACTTCTTACTATTGTCATTTCTTTTTCATCTAAAATCGGAATTTTAATTATGTATACTAAGTGATGATTTTTTATAATTGTAGTAATTTCACTAATGTCTATAATATGTTGATAGTTTCTTTCATCGCTTTCGATGTGATATTTAGTCCTAAATTCCTTTTCAAATCCATCAATTGTTTCATGCAACATTCTAGGCGTTAAAATTTGGGGGTTTATAATTCCATGCTTCCCTAAATTAATTGAACTTATTGCTAAATCTATGTCGTCGTTCATTTCTTCTATTAACGTTTCAGCTATTAATAATTTTTGTTGAATAAACAAACTCTTTTTGTTATTATTTATTTCTGCTTTCATTTGGTTTAGTATATCGTAGTCTGCTACAAGTTTATTTTCTAAGAACTTATAATCTTGAGATGATGAATCTAAGATCATTTTTATTACTTTAGTATTGTTTTTAATTGCTTCATTTAAGACCTTATTATCATTATATAATTGATCGAATTCTTTATTAATTATATTTAAATCTGAATCGCTTAATGTGCCAAATAATATTTTTGATGCGTCTCCTATTACATTTAAAAGTCCTCTTTTAACTCTTTGTTTACCCATTATGTTATATAATAGTGATTCCTTTTTTCTTAAACGACTAAATCTAGAAGAGATAGTTTTAATTTCGTAATTTTCTTGACATTTAGTCATGCAAAGATGACTAACCTGCGTTAACACTTTTTGAATAACAACTATTCTATCTTCGGTTCTTGTAATGTTTATCATAATCATCAATTTCCATTCCTCTGAATATAAATACACTTTTCCTATTTCTTCTTTATATATATTGCCTTTTAATTCCGTTATATTATAATCAGTTTCTGCTACAACCAGCCCGAGGCTCATTATCAAAATCTTCATCAAGATCGCCATTATTGTCGTCATCCAAATCGTCTTCTTCACTATCTAAAACAAAATATTTCTTAATATCTTCCCTATGAACCTTTCGATTATTTTCTATTGTATATGTATTTCCAATTTTATGTAAAACTATAAATGGTCCTAACCACAAAGGGTCTTCCTTTTTTCTCATATGATTTCTTATCAATATTTGCTCCCCAACTGAAATTGTCTTTTTATCAGTCAGTATTTGTTTTCTTTGAGATTCATTGATTTTTCTTCTTGCAACATTTAATTTGTTTTCGTGTTATAATTGTTTTAATTCGTTTTTCTTTACGAGATTTGTTATTTTATTTAATGTTTCAAATGCTTCTCTTGCTTTTCTGCCATTTTGTAGTTCAAATGGAGAAAATCCTGTAATTCTATTTATTGTCATATTGTATGTTAACATTGCTTTAGGTAACTCTTTATCCCATTCATCTTTTTGCGCATAAATACTTAAATATTCATTAATCTTCTTGTGTGATCTTTCATTCTTTCCATTACTTTGTGGGTGATAAACTGAAGTCTTTACATGTTTTATTTTTAATTCGGTCATTAGATCTGAAAATTCGTTATTAATAAATTCTTTCCCATTGTCTGTTAGTATTTCTAAAGGTTTACCGTTCGTTTTTAAATATCCTTTCCACATAGCATCTATGACTAAAGTTGCTGATTTGTCCTTCAATGATTCTAAATGCACATATCTAGTTAAAAAATCTTGAATCACCAAAATATATTTATTTCCGCTGGTAGTTTCATTTAATGGTCCCACTATATCTATTGATATTTTATCATTTGGTCCTTCTGGTATGTCTGATTCTTCATAATATTCTTGTTTTCTTTCATTTTGTTTAAATCGTTGACATAAATCACATGTTTTGATGAAGTCTTCAACATCTTTTGTAATGTTGGGCCAGTTTGTCATATTTCTTATCTTTTGTACTGTAATATCTTTAGAATAGTGTCCTCCTAATATTCCTTCATGTGCTTCTGCTATAATTTTTCTTCTATTCGTTTCAATGTGTTTCTTTATTAAATATATTTCCTTGTCACCTCCTTTCCATATTTTAAAAAGAATCCTCGATATTTTCCTTTCATCTATATCCTCGTAAATAATTCTTAATCTTTCTTCTTTAGTTTCTTTTTCTAAAAATTCTGATAATTGATCATCTGTCACCTGAGGACTAATTTTTATTTTGTCATTTTCTTCTGTTTCTTCGTTAGTGATCCAAATTTCTTTTATCCTTGTCGGTCCAAATTCTCGTTTTATAATTAACTGTCCTGTTTGTTCTATTTTGTTTCTTTTTAATCGTATTTTATTCGCGTCATCATTATCTATTTGAGGTATATCTCTGATCCATTGTACTTCTGTTTCCTCGTTAAAATCTCTTACTACTTTGTATATAGCTCTTTCTTTAGGTATTGTTTTTCTTCCATAAACTAATATTTTCCAAATATAATTTGTGTCTCTTATAGGTTTAAGTATATCTCTCAAGTTACTTATCGGTTCCAAAAGAGAATAATTTGCATACCCTTGCCTTTTTTCTTTAGTACCTGTAATCAATTTTATAGTTTTTATTACCTTGAATTCGTCTTTAATTATTGATTGATCACTTTCTTCTGTCTGTGAATCTATTTCCATATTTTCGTATTTATTTTCGTCATCAATGATTGAGTTGTCGTCTTCTGTTTGCGTATCTACTTCCATGTTCTCATTTTCCTCGTTTACACCTGTAGTACGCGCGTTCTGCTGTTGTAACGTATCATATGTACCGTCTGTTGTCATCTGAACCCTTGAAATGCGCGATAAGGCGTCAGCGTTTGTGTTGGCAATTCCTTTTTTGTAAATAATTTCATAATCGTATTCTTCTAATTTTAGTCTCCATCTCATTAATCTGCTTGTCGGATCTTTTACATTAAATAACCAAACTAAGGGTTTGTGATCTGTTACAATTTTAAATCTTCGTCCAAAAAGATGGTGTCTAAAATGTTTAACTGCCCATACTATTGCTAATAATTCTTTTTCAGTAGTCGTGTAATTTATTTCTGCCTTATTTAAAGTTCTTGAAGCAAATGCTATTGGTTTATCTTCTCCGATGTGTCCTTGTGATAAAATTGCTCCTAATCCTTCATTTGATGCATCAGTTGTTAGAACAAAAACTTGATTCCAATTTGGAAATTGTAGTATCGGTGCTGTTATTAATTTATCTCTTAATTCGGAAAACGCGTTTTCTTCTTTGTGTCCACTCAAATGTATTTTCCTTTCGTAGTAATTTAGTTAGTGGATTTGCTATTTTAGAGAAGTTTTTTATGAACTTCCTGTAATAACCAATAAGTCCTAAGAATTGCTTAATCTGTTTTTGAGTTTTTGGTCTTGGATAATTTTTTACTTTGTCAATTCTATCTGGGTTTGGCTTTATACCTTCTTTTGTAATAATATGCCCTAAATATTCCAGTTCTGGACGCAGATATTCGCATTTATCTGGCTGTAATTTGAGTCCAACTTGTCGTAGTCTTATAAATAAATTCTTCAAATTTTTATTATGTTCTTCCAACGTTCTTCCGTAAACAATAATATCGTCAATATATGCAAAACATCCATTACCTATTAGTCCTTTTAATCCATTATTTATCATTCTTTGAAATGTTGGAGGGGCATTTTTTAAACCAAAAGGCATTCTATTATATTCATAATGACCTTCGTTTGTGCTAAAAGCTGTTTTTTCTTTGTCCTTGGGATTCATTCCTATTTGATGAAATCCGGAAGCAAGATCAAAACAAGAAAAGAATTTAGAATTTCCTAACTGCTGAATTATCTCATCAATACACGGTAAAGGATATTTGTCTAAAATGGTTTTTTCATTTAGTTTTCGATAATCTATAACAATTCGCCATTTTAATTTGCCTGAAGCGTCTTTCTTTTTTGGGACTATCCATAACGGTGAATTGAAAGGAGACATACTTTCTCGAAGTATATTTTTCTTTAACATTTCTTTAATTTGTTGGTAAACTTCTTCTTGTAACATAGGTGGATATCTATATTGTTTTGTATTTACAGGTTGATCGTCTGTTGTTCTAATTGTATGCTCAGTTAATTTAGTTAAAGGTAAAGGGTCGTTTCCTAATGGGAAAATGTCGTGAAATTCTGTTATGATTCTTAGTAAGTCTTCTTTTCCTTCTTTGATATGGTCTAGTCGTGTTTTAGATAATAATTCTTTAATTCTTTCATTATTGCTGAATTGGTACATTTTTTCGTCAGTCAGTTTTTTTATAGAATCTATCCATAAGTCTTCATAAGCATCATACATACTTTCAATTTTTGCTGTATTAGGTGGTAAAATTGGATTTCCTTGATAATCATATTTTGTGACTGCTGAATATCCTCCTTCAAAGTTAATAAAACAGATTTTATCTTTCTTATCTGCACTAGGTTGTGGATGAAGTATTTTAGGTCCTAAGTTTAAAATACCTTTTTCTAAGTCAATTTTAAAATTTTGATCGTAAAGTAAATTCATTCCAATTAAACCATTTTCTCTAAATGCATTTTCATCTTTCGTAACTTGAAAAACTGATTCTTTACCATAAAGTTTTAAACAAATAGAATATTCAAATGTTACGGGATTGTTTCCTATTGTTAAAACATTATGAGGTGCGTATTTTTTAAAGTTTTTTCCTTCTAACATACTGTTTTTTATGATTGATATATTCGATCCTGTATCAACTACAAATTTTCCCGATTTTAATTTATCAAATTTTAAAGCCACAATAGGTGTGTCGTGTCTTCTTCGTTCTCTCGGGATCGGTGGAAGGTTGTGCTTAGCGGGTTCTCCGATAAAGAAAATTCTTCGCTTAGCTGCACTCGGTCTGGTGGTTTGCTGTTGATCGATCGTAACTGAAAATTTTGAGTTTTCTCTTGACGTGGTGGTAAACCTCTCAATTTTCCTCTACAGACATCTTCTGTATGTCCTACATTTTTGCAATGGTTGCATTTTTCTATATTTGTTTGTTTACTAAATCTTGGTTTTGGAACTGGGTTCTCATTTCTTGGGTTTCTTGTAAAATTTTCTATTCTTCTTTTATCTTTTATATTCACGTTAATTTCTGAGGCAATATTAAAACATTCATTCAGAGTTTTCGGTTTCTGAGGACGGATTCTAATTTCAAATTCTTCACGTATATTTCTTAAGAATGTGCTGACGCTTGCACTTGTTTCTATTTCCTGTCTTACGAAAGTTTCTTCAGGTGTTATATTCATACTATCTATAGACTGCCTGATTTTATCCTGACACAGCATAAATCTTGAGGTGAATGACTCTAAACCTTCATTTTTGCCCATTATACATGAATCGCGAGCCCTTTGAAGTGATTCTAAACTATCCTTTTCTCCAAATAAAATTCGTAATCTTTCAAAAAAATCAGCAAATGTTTTAACTGCATCGGCTCTAATTGTGTTTGCCGCTTTTCCTACTAATTTTTGTGCAATTATTGCATGAAGTAATGTTAGTCTTTCATTTCTTTTTGTTTTCTTTTTGGACAATCTTATTAAATGAATGAAGTTTTCTAAACCGATCCCGTTAAATTCTGGTATTAATTTTATACTTTTTCCAAAATCATATTCTGTAACTTCTTCTAATTCTTCATGATCGCTGTTTAATTCATTCTCATTTAAGGGTAAACCTAACTCTCTTCTAACTGGTTGTTCCATAGCTAACAATCTTGTTTCAAATCTTTCCAATTTTGCAAGAATTGTTTGAAAAAGGTCATTTGAACTTGTTGATGTTTCTGGCATGATTTTTAGAATATTGTCTAATTTAAGTCTGTCAGTCAGTGATATTGAAGGGGATGAACTGTCTGTGTCTATAGTTTCGTTTTCCCTACTTTCTCTAAATGAATTTAAATCCAGTTTGATTTAATAAATTTCCTATATCGTTTCGCACAATTTTATTTTATAACCGTTCGCGTTTTCTAATTTAAAATTTCATTTCTTGCAATCCTGCTACAAGGAGTACACAAGAATATGAAATTTGTTTTTTTTTTATTTATTGACGATGGAAATACTGATAAAATCACGGAGTATACCAACGCTTTAAAACAAACTTAGCCACACCCTATGAAGGTCGCCGTTCAACGTACGTAAAGTGGACTTATACTCTTGTTCTAAAGATTCGTAGTTTTGTTTTATATACCTTACTTCAATGTTGCTTTTGAATGTTGGTCTGGATCGTAGTACTGGAAAATCTCGAATTCTGTTTCGTATACTTGGATAACTCTCTGGATACCTCTCTGTAGACCTGGATATCTGTATCGCTGCTTGGCTAACACTCTGGATAACACTTCGTAGATATGGATATCTCTCTGGATACGTCTTTGTAGATCTGGATAACTCTCTGGATATCTCTTTTGTTAATTCTCTCGTTCACTTTGAATTAATACTTTGTTTATCTGGAACTAGTTCTTGGTTCTGGATATTTAAAACTTGGATGAACTTCCAAATAATTTTAAATATCCCACCGCTGCCACCAATTATGTTGTCGCCGTAAGAAACAACTAATAATATTATTTTTGTGAGTTGGTTACTCAACTGAGAACAAACTCTACTTTATTTATTTAACAAGCAAAGTACAAAAACTTGGAGATAATCAATCCTTCCAAAGCTTCACTGAGTCTTTTTGGAAGACAATTTACTAACCGTGCTATCACTTTGAGTAGCGACTAATTAATCTGACCACACCTGCTTATGCATTAGTTTTAAAGGACTGTGCAATAGTCCCCACTCTTTACAATACACACTCATACTTCATACTGTCGACAAAATGTATACTAATTTATTTACTGCTCCCTTTGTGTTTAAATTGATTTAATAGATAAAGCGCACTTGATCTCGGCCAAGTATTAATATTTTTCAACGAAATTTGTAGAAATCATTTCTGTAAGTTGGAAAATTAGTGGAAAAATTGGAAAAGTGTAAAATATTTTCAGAATTTATCACTATTTCATTTTCAGTTCCCTTTGTGTTTAAATTGATTTATCAGATAAAGCGCACTTGAACTCGGCCAAATATTAATATTTTTCAACCAACTTTGCAAATATCAGTTTTTTAGGTTTAAAAACTTGTGGCAAAAGGTGGAAGGATGGAAAATGTTTTCTGAACATTTATACTAATTTATTTAGAGCTCCCTTTGTGTTTAAATTGATTTAACAGATAAAGCGCACTTGAACTCGGCCAAATATTAATACTTTTTAACAAACTTTGCAAAAATCAGTTCTTTAGGTTAAAAAATTTGTGGAAAAAAGTGGAATGTTGAAAAATGTTTTCTGAACATTTATACTAATTTATTTACAGCTCCCTTTGTGTTTAAATTAGTTTAACAGATAAAGCGCACTAGAACTCGGCCAAATATTAATACTTTTTAACAAACTTTGCAAAAATCAGTTCTTTAGGTTAAAAAATTTGTGGAAAAAAGTGGAATGTTGAAAAATGTTTTCTGAACATTTATACTAATTTATTTACAGCTCCCTTTGTGTTTAAATTAGTTTAACAGATAAAGCGCACTAGAAATCGGCCAAATATTAATATTTTTCAACCAACTTTGCAAAAATCAGTTCTTTAGGTTAAAAAATTTGTGGAAAACAGTGGAATGTTAAAAAATGTTTTCTGAACATTTATACTAATTTATTTACTGCTTCCTTTGTGTTTAAATTGATTTAACAGATAAAGCGCACTTGAACTCGGCCAAATATTAATATTTTTCAACCATCTTTGCAAAAATCAGTTCTTTAGGTTAAAAAATTTGTGGAAAAAAAGGAGAATGTTGAAAAATATTTTCTGAACATTTATACTAATTTATTTACAGCTCCCTCCGTGTTTAAATTCGTTTAACAGATAAACCGCACTTGAACTCGGCCAAATATTAATACTTTTCAACAAACTTAGCAAAAATCAGTTCTTTAGGTTAAAAGATTTGTGGAAAAAAAGGGAATGTTGGAAAATGTTTTCGGAACATTTATACTTATTTTTTTAATAGCTCCCTTTATGTTTAAATTGATTTAACATATAAAGCGCACTTGAACTCGGCCAAATATTAATATTTTTCAACCAACTTTGCAAAAATCAGTTCTTTAGATTACAAAATTTGTAGAAAAAAAGGAGAATGATGGAAAATGTTTTCTGAACATTTATACTAATTTATTTACAGCTCCCTTCGTGTTTAAATTCGTTTAACAGATAAACCGCACTTGAACTCGGCCAAATATAAATACTTTTCAACAAACTTAGCAAAAATCAGTTCTTTAGGTTAAAAGATTTGTGGAAAAAAGGGTAATGTTGGAAAATGTTTTCTGAACATTTATACTTATTTTTTTAATAGCTCCCTTTGTGTTTCAATTGATTTAACAGATAAAGCGCAGTTGAACTTGGCCAAATATTAATATTTTTCAACTAACTTTGCAAAAATCAGTTCTTTAGATTACAAAATTTGTGGAAAAAAAAGAGAATGATGGAAAATGTTTTCTGAACATTTATACTAATTTTTTTACTGTTCGATCCCTTGTGTTTATATTGATTTAACAGATAAAGCGCACTTAAACTCGGCCAAATATTAATATTTTTCAACCAACTTTGCAAAAATCAGTTCTTTAGGTTAAAAAATTTGTGGAAAAAAAGGAGAATGATGGAAAATGTTTTCTAAACATTTATACTAATTTATTTACAGCTCCCTTCGTGTTTAAATTCGTTTAACAGATAAACCGCACTTGAACTCGGCCAAATATAAATACTTTTCAACAAACTTAGCAAAAATCAGTTCTTTAGGTTAAAAGATTTGTGGAAAAAAGGGTAATGTTGGAAAATGTTTTCTGAACATTTATACTTATTTTTTTAATAGCTCCCTTTGTGTTTCAATTGATTTAACAGATAAAGCGCAGTTGAACTTGGCCAAATATTAATATTTTTCAACTAACTTTGCAAAAATCAGTTCTTTAGATTACAAAATTTGTGGAAAAAAAAGAGAATGATGGAAAATGTTTTCTGAACATTTATACTAATTTTTTTACTGTTCGATCCCTTGTGTTTATATTGATTTAACAGATAAAGGGCACTTAAACTCGGCCAAATATTAATATTTTTCAACCAACTTTGCAAAAATCAGTTCTTTAGGTTAAAAAATTTGTGGAAAAAAAGGAGAATGATGGAAAATGTTTTCTAAACATTTATACTAATTTATTTACAGCTCCCTTTGTGTGTAAATTGGTTTAAAAGAATAAGGCGCACTAGAACTTGGCCAAATATTAATATTTTTCAACCAACTTTGCATAAAGCAGTTCTTTAGGTTAAAAGATTTGTGGAAAAAAGGGGAATGTTGGAAAATGTTTTCTTAAAATGTATACTAATTTATTTACTTTTTTTTTTGTGTTTAAATTGATTTAATAGATAAAGCGCACTTGATCTCGGCCAAATAATAATATTTATCAACCAACTTTGCAAAAATCAGTTCTTTAGATTAAAAAATTTGTGGAAAAAAAGGGGAATGATGGAAAATGTTTTCTGACTTTTTATACTAATTTATTTACTGCTCCTATTGTGTTTTAATTGATTTATCAGATAAAGCACACTTGAACTCGGCCAAATATTAATATTTTTTAACCAACTTTGCAAAAATGAGTTCTTTAGGTTAAAAAATTTGTGGAAAAAAAGGGGAAAGTTGAAAAATATTTTCTGAACATTTATACTAATTTATTTACAGCTCCCTTCGTCTTTAAATTCGTTTAACAGATAAACCGCACTTGAACTCGGCCAAATATTAATACTTTTCAACAAACTTAGCCAAAATCAGTTCTTTAGGTTAAAAGATTTGTGGAAAAAAAGGGAATGTTGGAAAATGTTTTCGGAACATTTATACTTATTTTTTTAATAGCTCCCTTTGTGTTTAAATTGATTTAACAGATAAAGCGCACTTGAACTCGGCCAAATATTAATATTTTTCAACCAACTATGCAAAAATCAGTTCTTTAGATTACAAGATTTGTAGAAAAAAAGGAGAATGATGGAAAATGTTTTCTGAACATTTATACTAATTTATTTACTGCTTCCTTTGTGTTTTAACTGATTTAACAGATAAAGAGCACTTAAACTCGGCCAAATATTAATATTTTTCAACCAACTTAGCAGAAATCATATCTGTAAATTGAAAAATTAGTGGAAAAATTGGAAAAGTGTAAAATATTTTCAAAATTTATCACTATTTCATTTTCAGTTCCCTTTGTGTTTAAATTGATTTAACAGATAAAGCGCACTTGAACTTGGCCAAATATTAATATTTTTCAACCAACTTTGCAAAAAGCAGTTCTTTAGGTTAAAAGATTTGTGGAAAAAACGGGAATGTTGGAAAATGTTTTCTGAACATTTATACTTATACTTTTAATAGCACCCTTTGTGTTTCAATTGATTTAACAAATAAAGCGCAGTTGAACTCGGCCAAATATTAATATTTTTCAACTAACTTTGCAAAAATCAGTTCTTTAGATTACAAAATTTGTGGAAAAAAAAGAGAATGATGGAAAATTTTTTCTGAACATTTATACTAATTTATTTACTGTTCGATCCCTTGTGTTTATATTGATTTAACAGATAAAGCGCACTTGAACTCGGCCAAATATTAATATTTTTCAACCAACTTTGCAAAAATCAGTTCTTTAGATTACAAAATTTGTAGAAAAAAAGGAGAATGATGGAAAATGTTTTCTGAACATTTATACTAATTTATTTACTGCTTCCTTTGTGTTTTAATTGATTTAACAGACAAAGCCGACTTAAACTCGGCCAAATATTAATATTTTTCAAACAACTTAGCAGAAATCATTTCTGTAAATTGAAAAATTAGTGGAAAAATTGGAAAAGTGTAAAATATTTTCAAAATTTATCACTATTTCATTTTCAGTTCCCTTTGTGTTTAAATTGATTTATCGGATAAAGCGCACTTGAACTCGGCCAAATATTAATATTTTTCAACCTACTTAGCAAAAATCAGTTCTTTAGATTAAAAAATTTGTGGAAAAAAAGGGGAATGATGGAAAATGTTTTCTGAACATTTATACTTATTTTTTTAATAGCTCCCTTTGTGTTTCAATTGATTTAACAGATAAAGCGCAGTTGAACTTGGCCAAATATTAATATTTTTCAACTAACTTTGCAAAAATCAGTTCTTTAGATTACAAAATTTGTGGAAAAAAAAGAGAATGATGGAAAATGTTTTCTGAACATTTATACTAATTTATTTATTGTTCGATCCCTTGTGTTTATATTGATTTAACAGATAAAGCGCACTTGAACTCGGCCAAATATTAAGATTT